GAACTGCCGATATCGGACCACCATAAAATATATCTGCCATACAAACTGAACGATCACAATCAAGTTCTTGTGTTTCTTTCACATTTTACAATGTATTTTCACAAAAGTTGGCWSAGGTTATTTTCTAAGATAATTATGWAATCTCAGAAAMAATTGTTTAGATCAGTCAACTATAAYATATAGCTGCCATGCGAACTGAATGATCGGAATCAAGTTTTTTTATGGAAAACTTTAACATTTGACTTGGTAACTTYACGAAATTTGGCATGGATTACTGCTTAAGGTAAYAAWATAATCTCCAAAAAAATTGTTCAGAACGAATTACTATAGCATATAKCTTCCATACAAACTACGCATATAGTTACTAGCAGAAATGCACCTGTGAAGGGTATTTAGCTTCGGTTTTTTTCCTTTTAAACAAAATTAACTTTTCAGCCCGCCGTTGCAAACTGGTTTTGGCCTCAAAGCATAACACGAAGAGTAGTATAGTGCTTCCGATTAATTCACATAACTCGGCCACGYTTAATCTGTGTATCAGATTATAAATTAATTATACTTAAATACAATAATTATTTGGTAATTATATAAATAATTAGCCCACAATATAAATAACTTATTTTATTTTTTATAAAAACATAATTTGTATTATTTTGTTTGAATACCGCTGAAGCTATGTGTGAACTAGAAAATATTTAGCAAAACTTGTTACCGGATTCAGAGAGAAAATGCGTTATTTTCTACTGGTTGCCTTAGTTTCGATGTGTCCTGCGAAAGTGAGTAAACGAATAATAATTTCGATTAAATTAATTTCACTTTACTTCCCATAGGTGCATTTGGTCATACGCTTCACCCAACTATTATGTAACAGCACACATCCCATGACAGTATATGAGAAATGCCATATTGAACGAGGGCATGACATTACAACAATAACAATACGACAAAAGCTACTGCAGCCCATCTACAGAGTACAAGTAAGTAAGGACGGTTTTGGAAACCTCAAAGTGATATAGAAATCATAACGGTTCTAGTTGCAATTTTCAGGCAAATATTTCAATAATACAGCTCTCGAAGAGTCTTAATCGCATTTGGTATACTTTCAACAATGTAGATGCCTGCGCTTTCGTATTGAGACGTCGAAATCCAGTGCTGAGATTACTCTTTGCGAATTTTCAAAAATTCAGCAATATTAATCACAGTTGCCCATTCACGGTAAGGTTTTCTGTGGGTTTTCGAGAAAGTTTTCATGAATATCTTTTTATATTTGCATTTTTATTCTATAATTTCGCATAAGGACTATTTAATAGTCGATCGTTTCGCTATAAGTGATATTCAGGTGGCGCGCTTACCAATTCTAGCGGGAGAATATGCATTGCTGACGGCTTGGCAATTGAACGGTGTCGATGCTGCTTATACCAATGTATTTGTGATTTATAGCTAGAGTTTAGAAAGTTTCAAGAATGAATAAAGCGCATATAATTTAGTGCTCTGGGCACGTATTTAAATTTATTATGCCGCGTCTGCCTCGAATCCCAAAAGAGAGGCCCAGTTTTCGACCACTTTTTACAGAAATTGGTACCATATGTCTGCAAGAACGGGCCGAATATTATCTTCCAAGCTGTCAGTCGTCTAATGGCAATATGCCAAGGCAAACGACTTCACATATCCCCACAAAAATAGTTATGTGATGTTAAATCGCAAAGTCTTGTCCATTGCCAAATATGAGCGCTATCTGTCCCCCAGTTTTTTTTACACCAGCTGCTTAATTTGGTACACCACGGTAGTGCGTTTTTCCATGGATAAATATATGAAGAAAAGAATTTGTTCCAAATTTTGTATTTGTAACCAAATCGTTGAAAATATTGGAAAAGGCTTACGGTGATTCAGATTTATACGAAACACCAGCCTATGAGTGGCACAAAGCCTTCAAAGACGGTCGAGAGATCGTTGAAGGTATGCCAAGTTCTGGACGATCCTTTTAACAGATGAAAATATGAATAAAGTGTAGAGTATAATGCGTGCAAATCGTCAGGCAAGTGTTAAAAAGATGACAAAAGGGGCCTAGATCTCCCGCGAGTCCGTTCGAATGGGTTTTAACGCGTTCTTGCTCGAATCGCACCGATAAACTGAATTTTATTTTTCAAAAATATTATTTTCAAAAATAGTACCGTAAAAAGGTCCTAAATTAATGGAGATCAACATAACGGGGTTTTGTTTAAAAATTACGCTACAAAAATAAATCGATAGGGATAGCAAACGACGCCATATTTTTTACCGCTCATTTCTCTTCAGTTAGGTTTGCCATTTCATCATAGAAAGATATACGATACAACAACTTTAGGAGCACTACGTCCAATTTATGATCATCATCATCGTCCGGTGAGATCGACAATTGAGTGTCTCGTGGAAAACTTTGAATCTCAGACGTCGTTCTCAAGCTTTGGGCATATCTGTGATCGAATCGAATCGAATTTTGTGAAATGATCTTGGCCTACACACTTACAAAATCAAATTGACGCAAGAAATGAAGTCACTTCCCCGCCATAATCTTCGTATATTTGAACAAGTTGAAAATGATGCGGGTTTTCACCGAACAATCATCTTTAGCGATACGCCTTATAAACTGAATGATCGGAATCTAGTGCTGGTATGGAAAACTTTCACATTTGACAAGATATATTCATGAAATTTGACATGGATTACTGCTTAAGGTAATAACATAATCTCCGAAAAAATTGTTCGGCTGACTACAGCATGTAGCTTTCATACATACATACATTTTGTTGACAATAAATATAGTTTTTAGTGTTCTCTTCCTAAACTTTTCTTTTTCACACTTTCACACTTCTATAAACGAAGATTCATTGGTATGATTAATCAAGGGTTATGGGGTTACGTGCATTGTTTATCCCATTTAATCAACCGGCATTACAAAAAAAAAAAAAACAAAAAAAAAACATACCATGTACTTGTATATGTTATATTTTTTAAGAAGTACTCGACTTTCTTTTAGCACTCAAAGACATCGCCAACTCTCCAAACAACGAACTGGAAACTTTGCCACTAATACTTCATGTTTAGGGTTCTTTTCATGATAAAGATTCTTTATTAGTTACATAAAAGATGTTATTATCCCAATCAGTGAACTCTGTAGCTTTGAACATATTATCATGTGATTTTGTAGATCCATTTAGATATTGTATGCTATGCTAAATACTCGTATGTGTATCTGTTATATACCTTACATCCAATTTGTGTGAGTTTGAGAGTTTGTTCGGTGGAAATTTTCGTGATTAGCTTCGGTTATCTTACAGTTAGTAATTGTATCTAATGTCCCGTGGTGCTCGAAATTGTTTCTCTATTTGCTCTATTTGGTATGCGCATTTTGATTTGATACTACGAATTGCATGCGGCGAAGTCGAAGTGCACCAAAAAGCCTTGGATCATCATTAAACGAAGAATTAATGGGAGTTCATAGTTGAGTTTGATATTTACTAAACAAAATAAGTGTAGAGTTCAATGAGCATACTGCTCTCTGTAAGGTTCGCCTTCTCGGTTATTGTCTAATYATCGTCCATGCTGTAAGTATAAAAATCTTACTGAAGTTGCTTGGGAGCATTTTCATCTTGCGAGACTTGGGTAGAAGCAACTTGGATCTCACACCATTAGTCATACAGTTAAACTAGCTGGAAACGAAGCCAGTCGACGAAATAGGCTTCTGAAGAATTCAAGATAAGTTGTCGTTATAAAAGGTGGTTTTAAAGGAATCTATCGCAAATTGTCMAAGTGTGATGTTCGTCTTGGGAATCCGACTTAAAAAGCTGTGTAATATACATAGTAAATGAAACTATTTTTGTAGACATATAAAACTATAGTGAAGTATATATCACACCAACTGTGTGTTATCGATTTTTAACTACAAGTTAGCTTAGTTTTAGAGATATTGTTGGGTCAACGATTGSGAAACACTGCATACTTCGACCATATGTTTTTACATTTGTATATGTTTTTTGCTATTTCTATTTACTGTTATTTGTCTAATATTCAAGGTTAACCGTTAGAAGTCATTCAACTCAATGCAGTTAAAAATTGTATTTGCAYTGTGTTTGCTTGCTTTTGTTTTGTACACTTTTGCTTACACTATGTTTTCCTCACGCAATTATATGTMTGTTTGTTTGTGCACTTTAGTTAGTCCACTTTAGCATGTACTAAGCTTWATATGTAAGCAGCATCTTGCAAKGCTGCATTYTCATTTTACATTTCTCTTTTAATAACTAAATTATATAAGTATGAAGAAGCAATAGCGTTAAGTAGGTACTTAGTTTAATCAACTGTTAGAAGTACAAAACATACATACGTATGTATGAATTATAAAAAAGAAAACTTTATAGCTTTACATAAGTATATAAAAGTATGTAAAGTATATATATATGATTACACTTAAAGTAGCTATATAAGTATACACAATCAATTCAGAGCAAATGAGATAATTACAACAAATAATCGGATAAAATATTATTACTTTTAAATAGTTAATTTAAAAAAACAATTATTTTAGAAATTTTGGACTAACTCAATATTTTTTAAACGAAATGAACTGTTGACATTTTGCATATTCGGCTTTGAAATGCATAATCTGGAATTGCTGCTGCTTTTGAGTGTAATTTCTGTGAACGTATGCTGAAATTTATAAAAATGTATTTTGAGGAGAAAGCTATATGTATATACACATATTTCCTTCTTTCACTTGCATTCGAAAGTGACTTTGACAAAAATTGTTTSCAACAGCAAATATCCAATGGCGATCTAAGAGAAGTGTGTCATCGAGAGAGTCAATAAAACGTTGAATACTATTACATTACAACAGAAATATATTGTCGAAAATGCGTTACCATTACAATTTTTATTTCATGTTGTGCAAACTATATACAATAGTCTTGTCCACATAATGTTAATAAATGCACTTAATATAAGGATTTTCTAACATCCGATTGATGTTACGTTGTTTACGTTGAGTCCAATTTCTGAGGACTGCGGAATTGTACATATCCATATTAGATTTTACATATCCCCAGAAGAAAAATTCTAACGTTGTGTTATCACACGATCTTGGTGACCAATCTACCGCCCTAGAACGTGAAATTATCTGCTCGTCAAAGTGTTCTCTCAATAAATCCATTCATTGATGCGATGTGTGGGGAGTAACGCCGTCTTGTTGAAACCAACCGTTAGAATTACAATCTTCAATTATCGGCATCTTTGTTAAAGAAAACACCACACCATTTCTGGATGAAATGGCAGGTCTTGGATCTCTTCAGGTTGGTTTTGTTCCCAAATGACGAATCGACTCGCCATGGTCTTCGTGTACACTCTCAACTATGGTTGCTATGTTTTCTTCACTCCTTGGATCAGTAGGCCGATTATGTTGACCATAAGTTGAGCGAAGCGCGCAAAACACATTTTTTATAGAACGTGAATTTTCGTAACAAAGTTGGACGATTTGTAATCTTTCATTTTAATTCAAAAAATTCCGAAAAAAAAAGCTTAAAAGGAACGGTCGTCACGAGGTATGACCACCTTAATGAAATTCAGAAAGAATGAATGAAGTCACGGCGATACTGTCAATTTTAATTCCAAGTTTTGTCAACAMTGGAAAGTATATAGAATATTGTGTTCCATTGTGTTCCATAAAATATTAAAGATATTTCTATAATTTTTTGAAAACAATAGGCTATARAGGTATCGTCTTTTCTTAAAAGCTCCTTTAAACCAGAATAAAGTAAAAGTATACATTATTTTCACTTTATGTTTTGGGCTCCATGAAAGCTTTTTAKAAATAGTATCTAGAATAAGCATCAGAGGAGTCATCAGCCGTAAGCGATGCATTATTGTTACAAATTGTTTTATTACTTAGAATATAACAACATATAAATAGCAGCTGTGAAAGACATTTGCTGTCACCACTTACACAGACTTACACCATACATGCATAAACTCTTTTCCTTCAACCTGTGGAAGATATTGAAATATTGTCTTACATTCTTCACTGACATATAATTTATTTCTTTGAATATACAACACATATCTGAGCTGCTTTATATTAGGGTGTGTCAAAAAAACAAAGAAACAAAGATACACAAATCGCTTACATGCATGGAGCAAATTATTAGAGTACTTTTTGCTTTATATTACAATTAGAATTTTTGAAGCATGAAGCACACACACGTCACGAATCATCACTCTTATTTAAGTGTTTTCAACATTAGTCATTTGCTTTTATTGTGCTGTTACGCGCAGATGTTGTAAGAACGAAAATATTTCACAAGAAGAATAAATCATATTTCACTTGTTTGGATACTATGCACTTATGTGAGTACTTCTCTGCACGGTACAATATGAAATAACCGCTTAAGATTTTGGAGTGAATTTGTACTTCCGGAA